GCATTGGGCTTCTTCATGGGGTTTTATTCTCTTGACGGGGTGCCTGGAACTCTTCAGACCGCACTGGCCTCATGCCCCCATCCTATTGACCCCATCTCTCCCTCAGAGGCAGAGTGCCACTGGGCAGACACAGAGCTGAAAGGGCTATGGGAGTGTGTGCAGCTGCAAGGACCCCACACCCATCGAGTTCAGCCCTGACCCAGTGAGTGGGGCCTTAGGCAGTGAGGCTTGGACTCCTTCCCAGCTTGGCAAGGGGCCCTCGGACAGATCCAGGTTGGGCTTTCTCTACCTCAGCCTGGGAGGGAACCAGGGGCTGAGGATTTACACTGAGCTCTGAAAGGTGGGGCATCCTGGGGAGGGAGGGCAGGCCATGTGATCAGAGTTGGGCTGAGTGTGTGGAGGGCCCAGGGCAGGGAAGGCTCTCTGCCTTTTCCCTGAAGTCTCCCTCACCCCTCAAGAACTCTTCCCTTGGGAGGGATCCCAGGGTGAAGAGGGAATAAGGCAAGAGTTAAAAGCTGTTTCTCATTCAGCTCCCAGACAACAAGGTCCTCAATGTTCCTGTGGCTGTCATTGCAGGGAACCGGCCCAATTACCTGTACAGGTGAGCCTGGCAGTGGGCTGCATCCAGCACCAACAGGAGGGTGCTCAGTGGGTGGGTCCCCAGGCTCATCTATCTGTAGGAGGAACTCTTGAGGTGGGCAGGAAGACAACAGATTCTAGGTCCATTTACATATGTGGGTGAACATGGGGAATGTGGGCCCAGCTGTAAACACAGAGGAGCCCTGCGTCGGGGGGACAAAGAGGCCTAACTTATCCTTGGGCTCCCCAGGATGCTGCGCTCTCTGCTCTCAGCCCAGGGAGTGTCTCCCCAGATGATAACCGTCTTCATTGATGGCTATTATGAGGTGAGTGGGATTTGGGGGCTCTGGGTGGGGCAGAGCACAGTGTTTCAAGTGCTGAGTAGCAGTGATCCCTGAGGACTGGCGAGGGAGATAGCCCAGGCAAGGGCTGTGAAATGTGGGGGCTTGGGCATGCCAGGGCCTGCAGAGGTGGGCAGGGGGCGGGGGTGACTCGTTGGAAGACCAGTGGCCATGTCCCCCAGGAGCCAATGGACGTTGTGGCGCTGTTTGGTTTGAGGGGCATCCAGCACACTCCCATCAGCATCAAGAATGCCCGTGTGTCTCAGGTACGGCCTTGGCAGGGATGGAAGGGGCAGACACCGGCCAGCACCATCCACCCTAAAGCTCATGTGCCTGTTTCTGTTCCCCACCCAGCACTACAAGGCCAGCCTCACTGCCACTTTCAACCTGTTTCCGGTGAGTAGTAAGAACAAAACTCTTTGGCCTAGGGAGGGGAAACATGAGCATAAAGTCTGGCCTTATGTAGCAAACTCTTCGTCCTCCTTGTCTGGAAAATGGGGAGAGTGCTGCCTGAGAAGTGGGATGAGGGTGGAGGAGACATGAGATGGGAACGCTCCCCTTGGGATCTCATGGTCCCCCTCCCAATGCAGGAAGCCAAGTTTGCTGTGGTTTTGGAAGAAGACCTGGACATTGCTGTGGATTTTTTCAGGTGAGGGGAATGCCCTTCCATTGCAACCTCTATAAGCTGCATGGGGCCTCTTTGCTTGCCTGGGTCTCCAAGGAAGAAGGCAGTGAGGCGTCTTGGGGCGCTTTCTGGAGGAAGCAAGCTCAGAGGTGGGGGAAAAGTCTGAGCAAATGCTGAGTGGCAGCTGTTGGGCTGGAGTAGAGAGCTGAAAGGATAAATGGAAAATGAGATGGAGATTTAAGGGGAAGAGCAAGGGGGCGTGGCTTTTAAGTTCCATCTCCAGCCCTTTGTGCATCACTGTATGACTGGGTTTGTCCTTGGCCTTCCCTGGACCCCTGGACCCTGCCTCTCTCAGCTTCCTGAGCCAGTCCATCCACCTGCTGGAGGAGGATGACAGCCTGTACTGTATCTCGGCCTGGAATGACCAGGTAGGCTGAGAGGCCAGGGGTCGGCTGGGAATTTTGTAGGGTCCCCAAGCTAATACCTTCCACCGTGGTCGCCTATCCCCAGGGGTATGAACACACGGCCGAGGACCCAGCATTGCTGTACCGCGTGGAGACCATGCCTGGGCTGGGCTGGGTGCTGAGGAAGTCTTTGTATAAGGAGGAGCTCGAGCCCAAGTGGCCCACACCAGAAAAGGTGTTCTGACGGGGCAGGGTAAGTGAGCTGGGGTCCTCTACCAGCTCCAAATCTCTTGACCTTCATAATCTTCCGTGCCCCAGCTCTGGGACTGGGACATGTGGATGCGGATGCCTGAACAGCGCCGAGGCCGAGAGTGCATCATTCCGGACGTTTCCCGCTCCTACCACTTTGGCATCGTGGGCCTCAACATGAATGGCTACTTCCATGTGAGTGGGAGGGATGTTGCTGGGGTGGGGGACGCGGGGGAGAGGAGGGCACAGTATGGCAGATAGCACAAAGAGCATGGACTCTGGAGCAACCCCAGGTCTGCCTCTCACTAGCCACGTAACCGAGGGGAAATTACTGATCCTCTTTTTTTTTTAATCTTCACCTGAGGATATGTTTTTTATTGATTTTTATAGAAAGAGGGGGAAACATTGATATAAGAGGGAAACATCAATCGGTTGCCTCCCTACATGCCCTGACTGGGGATCAAACCCACAACCTAGGTATGTGCCCTGACCGGGAATCAAACCCAAAACATTTTGGTGTACGGGACAGTGCTCTAGCCAACTGAGTCACCTAGCCAGGGCTACCGATCCTCTTTAAAAAAAAAAAAATGGCCCTGACCGGTTTGGCTCACATGCCCCCTGCTAGGGATCAAGCCAGCAACAGAGGGTTCCCCTGTTCCAACCCCAGGATGTGCCCTGACTGAGAATTGAACCATGACCTCCTGGTTCATGGGTAGATGCTCAACCACTGAGCCAAACTGCTGGGCCTACTGATCCTCTTTTACCTCAGTTTTTTTATTTGTAAAATGAGAATTAAAATACTGTTTACCTAGTAGGGTTGTTAGGTTATGAGGTTTACTAGTAAATAAGTTGCTATATGCAAAATGCTTTGAACTATAAGCATTATATAAGGGTTAGCTCGTATCATTTTTATTATTACTATTCTTAGCATGAGGCTGGGTGCGGGGAAAGTATTTCTACTGCCAAGCACATATCCAGCCCTGCAAGTTCTGCCCTCTCCTGTCCTTGGAAGTTCTGCGGCCTGAACAGGGAGGTCCCCAGGTCTCCACCCCCTATATGGCTGTGTCCAAAGGGCCACTCCTGTTATAGCAAGGGAGGCCTTGAGACAGTCCAGCCTGAAGGAATGGACAGCTTCCAGCTTGAAACCTCCTAGAAGTCAGAAGGGCCCTGAGAGACCAGCTAATACAAGACCTCCACTCATTTCCTCAAGGCGGGCAGGCATTTACCTCAGCGCCTTAGTCACAGGGATTTCCTCTCCCAGGCCAGCCAGCCCCTTTGCCCACTACTTCCTGGCTTCCGTGGATCTAGAACAGCTGGTCCAGGGAGAACCACTGGGGACAGGGACTAGCTCAGGGGTCAGTGGCATGAGCTGCTGGTGTGGAAAGGAGCTTTCTGGCAATGCTTAAGCCCAAATTAAAGGCAATAAGAGCCCGCCAAGGATATTGCAAAGAGGACAGGAAGACAAGGAAATTAGAGGGACCTTTACAGGTCCAGGACTTAATTTGTGGGCCTGTGGTTATGTAGTAGGTCAGTGGGCAGGTGTGGGCCAGACAATGGAAGGCTCTGATTTGCACCTTCACACCCACTCCAGGAGGCCTACTTCAAGAAGCACAAGTTCAACACAGTTCCAGGTGTCCAGCTCAGGAACGTGGACAGGTAGGGGCTGGGGACAGGGCAAAGGGTAGGATATCTGGGAGTCTTGATGACCATTATTTGACAGTCCCTCCCAACCCTGGGGCCTGTATGTTTATCCCAGCCTGCTGTCCCCCAGTTCCCATGTGAACCTCAGCCCTGCTCCTGGGATCTTGGGGCTACCCTCTCCCTTGAACCATTTCTCCCTCTCCTTTAGTCTGAAGAAGGAAGCTTATGAAGTGGAAGTTCACCGGCTGCTTAGGTATGGCCTAGGGCATTAGGGGTGCGTGGCAGGGAGTGAGGAGGGGTCAGATACTCGGGTCCAGGCCTCATAATTTGTGGGGCCCGCTGCACAATGAAAAACCGGGCTCCTTGTTCAAAATAAGAATTTCAAGACGGCAACAACTAAGCAAGGGGCCTTGTGTGATACACTCATGAGTGAGGGCCTGTCTTACTCCCCTGCCCCCACTGCAGTGAAGCCGAGGTGTTGGACCATAGCAAGAACCCTTGTGAAGACTCTTTCCTGCCAGACACAGAGGGCCGTACCTACGTGGCCTTTATCCGAATGGAGAAAGATGATGACTTCACCACCTGGACTCAGCTTGCCAAGGTGCCCCTATGCCACATCTACCCTAGAAATGCCCCTTCCCCCAAGATACAGGGAGCCTTTTACCTTAGAACCTTTTCATTACACTTCCAGACGCATTTTTCAACCTCCTTGTCCAGATTTGTATTTTAACAGCTGCTACCTCTTATTAGAAGTACTTTAAGAAAAAAATTAATTTGAGAGATGGTAAAAAGAAAAGAAAAGATGCCATCCATCTCTTGCAGTTTGAAGAGGCTGCTGAGGAGGGATGGGGGCTGGGTTTTGGGTCCTCAGAGGCCCTCCCCGCAGCTCTCTGACCCATGCCTCTCCCTACTCCACCCCACAGTGCCTCCATATCTGGGACCTGGATGTGCGTGGCAACCACCGGGGCCTGTGGAGGTTGTTCCGGAAGAAGAACCACTTTCTGGTGGTGGGGGTGCCAGCCTCCCCCTACTCGTGAGTGACCCTTTCCTGCCCTTGAAATGGGAGACTGGCTGGATGGGACATAGCTAATGACCTCTTTCCTATTACCTTCCCAGGGTGAAGAAGCCACCATCAATCACCCCAATTTTCCTGGAGCCGCCCCCAAAGGAGGAGGGAGCCCCAGGAGCTGCAGAACAGACATGAGACCTCCTCCGGGACCCTGCAGGGCTGGGTACTGTGTACCCCCAGGCAGGCTAGCCCTTCACCCCATCATGTAGGATTTTATAGACACTGGCAGGGGTTGGGGCTGGTTTGTTTTTAACATGAGACTTAATTACTAACTTCAAGGGGAGGGTTCCCCTGTTCCAATGCCCCTATTTCTGAGTTGGAGGTCTATTTATTTACTTCCTTTTTGGGAAAGGGCAGGATAGTTGCTGGAATCCCTGAGCAGCCGATCCTGCCCTTTGTATACTCCCTCCTCCCAGGCCTGGCTCAGAATTTAACGTATTTATTTACTGTCCTGAGGGCCTTGGAAACAGGGTGAAGCCTGAAGGAACTTGATAGTTTTATGGACTGGGGTGCTGCCCTGAGGGTGTGGCTGGCTCTTACTCAGGAAACTGCTGTTCCCAACTCCTGGACAGGCCCAGCAGGGGCCCGCCCACTGATGCAGACGCACTCAGAGACCCTCACCCTGAACCAGGCCTCTTCTCGGCCTCATCTTTGTCCAGGTTTCCAAAGCTGGATAAGGTGGTCATTGATTAAAAAAGGAGAAAACCTCTATGGATGTGTCTCGTGATTGTGTGTGTGTGTGTGTATGTGTGCGTGTGCGTGTATGAGAGAGAGAATGCTCATGATGGGTGGTGAGTTTTCCTTACTGCCTTCCATATAGGGTTTATCTTACATTTGGGGCCATTTGGCCACCAGGGGATGCCCAAGTCTCAAACTTCAAGGTTTTTCCCTAGGCTCCACCCTAGAGCCTGACCTGTTGGGCTGAGCTTGGAGTAGCCACCCCACACCCTTTCCCACTGTTTAACCACCAACCTGTTTCCTGCCAGCTTGTCAGGGCCAGGCACTTGTCCCCAGATATGGAGCAAAAAAAAAAAAGCAAAAAGGGATACTTAGATGTGGGAAGGCAATGGGAGCACAGGTGAGTATAGTGAGGCACGGGCGGGAAGAAAGTGGGTGAGACAGAACCGGGTTGGGCATCATTCAGGAGGCTAGGACTGGGCTGCAGATGGAGACATAGGAACAGGGATTTCTGTGGCCATTAGTGCACTGTATGCAGATTTCATAGCTGGGCATTTTTTTCTGAAGAAAAGCCATTGTTTTCATCAGATTCTCACCTAGTCAGTGATCCAGAGAGGTTAAGAAGATCTAAGTCATAAAGGTACCAGAAAATGAATGGATTGTCTATAGGGAATGGATGAGATACCCCAAGCAGGGGAAGTATGACATACATTTAAGGGAGCTGTGAAGGACTTAGGATCAGGAGAGTACAGAACACTTCTAGAGCAACAGTCTGGCCTGCCTGCAGAGCCCCTGTGCGGCGAGCCTGGTGAGCACCTGTAGAGCCTTGGCCAGGAAGGCAGGAACTCCCGCCCTTTCGCCAGCTCTCTGCCCCCCTGCCTCCCCCACAGGTGCCTGGAGCTCAGGTCGGCGATGGCACGGGTAGTGTGTGGCTAGGACGTTTCTTGCCACCCTGCTGATTTCAGTGTTTGCTGTAGCTAGAGATAGTGTTTGAGGTGCCATAACAGCCAGATTGAGGAGCAATTAGCTCACTATGAGGCGGAGGCCCACCCTGGGCAAACAGATCACCAACCTTCCTTGTCAGGCCCTAAACACTGGCCTGCCCCACCCAGGCTGAGCACTTCCTGATGTTGCTGGTAGTACCCACCATCGAGAAAGCCTTGACCCATCTCAGGAGTTGTGTGTGCAGGGCATAGTAAAGTGGGGAAGGGGGCTCATTGCCCACCCCCCAGCAGGCTCCGAATTTTGGCCTCAAACTAGCTCTCAGGCACTGTATGGCTCTGGCCAGGTCCCTTCCTCTCTGGGCCCAGCAACAGGTGGTAGTTCCTGGCTCCCTTGGGAAAATCTGGGAAGAGGGGTCCAGGGGTCAAAGGGAAACAAGGGGAGGACTGGTTAGCCAGGCTGGGCTTTGCTTGGTAGCAGACACCATGTTCTCCAGCCATAGCTGCCTCCTGGATCAGCAGCAATCAGATCTGTGTGGGGGACATTCTGGCCTTCTGGTAACTCTGTCGCCATATCAGATAGCGTGGGCCTGAAACTAGTCACATGCGTTTCTAGGCCCAGTTTCTTGAGGATGGGGGTGGTTAAGACAAAATGGAGATCAGATCTGAAGAGCACCAGGCAGGCCACGACCAAGAACACGTTCTTTCTGAAGTCCCCAAAGCAGGGAGCGGTGTGGGGCTTTGCCTGAGTGGGAGGGGTAGGCAGCTTAGATCCTCCAATGGGGCTGCCAGAGGGCTTCTCAGAGTCTAAGGAGTGACTCCCTCCCATTGCCCTGGCAATATTTTTCATCTCCCCTGCCCCCACTTGGGCACAAGCTTGTTATTTTCATAGCTTTCTGGTCCAGTGCCCCTACTCAGGAATGAGTAGTTTCAGTCCAAAGTCCTCCCACATTATAGGAAGGCAGGCTGACCCAGCCCCCACCGCCTCCCTCAGTGCCCTCTCGGCCATCCCTGTCATGCTCCCTCCCAGGCCTGGAGTTCACATGGAGAGAAAAAATAGCCACCCACCTCCACTCCATTCCTCTTCTGCCACCTTTCCAGGGGCCTTCTGTGTCTCTAGCCCCACAAGAATCTGAGGCCAGTTTAGGCAAGATGGGTCCCTCTCCCCAATGATACGCATGAAAAGAGTCCCAGTGGAAACAATTTAATTGGTTTATGAATTCTGGAATGCCTTCTACACATCCGCCCGGTTACTGCTTATTTTGCATGTGCTCAGGATATAGGGTGCCTTATTCCCCAGTGGAGTACTGGGGTCACCAAGAGCTCCTGTTGTCCTGAAGGGGTAGCAAGGGTTTGAGAGACAGACTGGAGGAATGGGCAGGAGAACTGGCTACCCTAGAACTGGCTCTGGAACAGGTGGGCCCCTCCCGCACCAATGGAAGGCAAAGTCAGGCACAGCCTGAAGGGGTGGTCCCTATGTGGCCCCACTCTGGCCCAAATGACACTGTTAGATCCTGTCGCCACCCTGATCACGGCCTTTTGGCAGTGCCGGGGTGCTCTTCCCAGTTCCTGTGTGGCAGGAGCAGTGGCGGAGGCAGAGGCAGACTTATTTCAGATTGCAGTACAGGTACATGGACACAATCATGGCAGCCAGCTGGTGGGGAAGGAATAGGGAGAGGTGAGGAGACATGATCATGGTCCTTGAGCTTTAGTCTCCTGCCCCCCAAACTCCCTACATGAAACGGTTAGAAGTCTGTGTCCTCTAGAGAGGCCTTAGAGATGGGACAAGCACCCCTGTTCCAGTGGGGATATCCGGCTCCAACCGTCTCACCCCCTTACCTCCAAGCCTCCAATTCCGGCTGCCACACCACCCACAGTGATGGCATTGGTTCGGATGTCACTCAGAAGCTGCTTGAAGCAACCCTTGGAGAAGGGAAAAGAGCATCTATAGTCAGCTCCTGCCCCCGCCCCCCTTTCAGCACTCTGAGGCCATTAAAACAGCCCCAAACTTCCATGCCAGCCCACACCTGTACAGGTTTGTCCTCGGCCCTCTTCTTGGTGCAGGGTTCCGTGCCATTGACATCATCAAAGCAACAGAATGGGGGGAAGACCTTGTTATCTGTGAAGTAGGGAGACTCCTCAAAATCCGTGTAGTTGTTGAAGCCACAGCACTTGAGCTGGAGACAAGGAGGGGAGGGTGTCACTGGGGCCTGCCTCTCTCTCCCCACTCCAAAGCCTCCCCAGCCCACCTTACCCCTTCCATGGTGCTGTTCCACACTTGTGTGAAGTCTTTCTGGGAGCCATAGTCCTTCTTGATGGTTTGCACTGCCAGCAATGTCAGGTAGTGCTCAGCCTGGGTAGAGCAGGACAGTGTTTAGGGCCTGATAGGCAGGGTGGCCCTTCACAGGCCACAACCCACTTCCAGGGCTTTGCCCCATCTTACTCCCTTGCCCCATCCCCAATCCTCACCACTGGGGTATACACCAAGGCAACCACAGCAGCTGCAACCTCAGCAATGAAGATGATGAGGAGGATGAAGAAGAACTGAAGAGGAAACAGGGGTCTGAGTTTTAGGGAGAGACAGTCCCTCGTGAATCCCTTGCCGTAACCCACCCCCCCATAAAAAGGAGGCAGGGGCCCCTTCGCTGAGGCCCTTGGAGTCCAGATAGGGTTTGGGGATCCCTAGGGCCTGGTGTCAAAGGTGAGGGGACCCCAAGCCTTGGTGATGGGCCTGTGGAACTGGGTTTGACACACCATCATGAGGGCACACTTGTTCTCAGTGTGAGCACCGTAGCAGCCCAGGAAACCCAGAGCAAAGAGCACGGCGCCAGCTGCGATGAGGAAGTAGCCCACGTTGACAAACTGCATGGCACTGGACGACAGCGGCCCGAAGATCTTCAGGAAGGATGGCCCATCGACCGACACCCAGATCCCCACTGCCAACAGGGCCACACCACATAGCTGGAGACAGAGAAGCAGACCTTGAAACAGTGCTGGCAAGCAGTTCCCTACCACACAATTGAGTCAGGAAAATGGGAGATGAGAAATTTCCCCCTTTATTGGCTAAGAAGTCTAAAAACTCATCCAGTAGGGAGGGAAAACATCCTGTAAAACCAGAAGGATGGGAGCTGGGATACCCACAGCCACACCGGGCTGCACACCTAGGCAGATATAAATGGGATCAGAGGTTCCTAAAATATCCCTGGGGGGTGGGGTGGTGGACGGGACATGGGGTGCCCAGACTTTCCCTCACCGATGCCAGGGTCCTGCCACATAGCTAGGAGTGAAAACAAGCAGGTGAGCACCTACCCCACCCTATTTCCTCCCCAGGCTATGGGTGTCTGGAACACCTATGTCCTCTGATAGGTGGAAACACGGGGGTGGTAGCATTGAGCAGGCTCAACAGTAACCCTGGTAACGAAGGCGGGGTTGAGGTTTACACCTACTCCCAACCTTGGAGAGGAAGGTGGTGAGAAGGGACACCTACCCTGGGGCCCATTTGGCTCCCTTCCAAGTTTAACTCCAGGCCTGCCCTTTATCCAGCCTAGACCTCTCCTCGTAGAGACTGAGGGCGAGTACAGTCAGAGCGCCTGGAGGCTCCCTCGCTCAGCTCCAAACCTCAGAGGGAGTCCTGAGGCCCAGAATGGGGAGGAGGGCACTGCCCAGTTCCCAAACCTCTTACAGCAAAGCCTTTAGGATCCAGAGCTTCAGGGGATGAAACATCCTGACACAACCTTGGTGCCTAGTCCCCACTTTCCAGCTTTAGGAGCTGAGGCTAGAACCAGGAGCGAAGTGGCAGACCATGGCTGCGTTCCAGGCATGTTTGCCCAAGGACAAAAAGCTGGACTTTCAGCCTGCAGGGTCAAATTTCAAGGAGTCTGAGGCCTGCCCTGCCCTGCCCAGCCTGGCAATGCCTGGGCAACAGAGGCCAGAAACCAAACCGGATTTGCCTTTAACCCCCTCCGGCCAGAGTCTTTACTGTCCAAATGGATGGGATCCTGTTGTCTTCTCTACATACATGAATAACGGCTGGTTCTCCAAAGCCAAAGGGAGCCTGAGACACGGGCCCACACTGGAGTCAGAGCGTTTTCC